TGTGGACAGTTAGAAGCGGATCACACACATATCTTTTGGAGTTGTGAGAAAATCCAATCATTTTGGGATGATGTGCAGGTAGTCATATCTGAAGTGTTTGGATACAAAATACCTAGAACCTCTTGGTTTTTATTTATGGGAAATATTAAAGGCATAGTACCTAAAAGCGACCAATATTTATGTAAGATTCTTCTTGTGGCTTGTAAAAAGACTATAAATAGGAATTGGCTTAAAAATATTACTTTGAATTGTAAACAATGGTTTGGGATAATTGAGGAAATCCTGTTAATGGAAGAACTTACATATACTTTAAAGATGAAAAAAAATGCTTTTACAATGGGCTGGGAAAAGTGGTTGATATATAGAGAACAAAACATCCTCAGCTAAGTAAACAGTAATATAACAGACAAAAAAGCTATAGCAATAGTTAACCTCACCTAACTGGCCTTGTTGTTCTTGTTTTTTTTTTTCTTCTCTCTTTTTTTTTCTCTCTTCTCTTTAACTGCGGGGATGGTACATATGTATGTGGATGTATGTACAAATATATGTGTGTATATATGCGTATGTATATACACGTGTATTTATTTATATTTGTGTATATGTGTTAATATGGATGTGTACGTATACAACTGTACACGCTGTAGCATATGTTTGATATGTATATGTTAAATGTATGATTTCTTTTATCCCTTTCTGTTAAAATTGTTCTATATTTATTGTGAATTTTGTAAATTAATTAAAAATAAAAGTAAAAAAAATAAAATAAATTATGATTATATTAATAGGTATATTAATATATACATAAATATGTATATATTTAAAACATGTATATATAAAGCCCACCCTTTCCATAAAATACATGACAGTCAGTATTGGAAATATCAGTATTTCAAAATCAATCACCCATCACCAAAATATGTTACATTACCAAAGTTAATTGTAATGTGAATGCTGTTTCACAATCTGTGATTTGATTGGGTTGTAAATGTTATACTTTAGTTCTATTGGCTCACATTTCCCCCCGTCCACACAGTGAATATGACATCATCAGAAAAGGCATGTCATTTCATAGGTGGAGCAGAGTAATACATTTTGATAAAAGACCGAAATAACTTGCACTAATGAATCATTCAAAATACTTTTTGACCATTAATGTGTATAAACAAAATATCTAGATTCAATTTTTATTCATGTTGGATGTAAAGGGCATTCCAGCAGGTTTTATTTACTGCTACAAGAGGGTGCTGCAGACAGACTTTAGTCTTGTTTAGAGCAAGGTAAAGACATTTCCCTTCCGCTGACATGATGAAGTGATGACTCAACCATCTGTGATGCACAGAAGAGTTTAACCCGTTCATGAGCAACAGGAACAGGCAGGATGCCCAGCAATGTCAGCAGCTGCTGTCTGACTCTTCAAAAGAACTTGTCATGTCTCATGTAATGCTCACATGAGATGTACCATAAAACCCCTCGGCATCAAACCGGAACAAATCAGGATGAAAACATAAAATAAATCAACAAATATTATATAAATATATATATACTGTATATAAATATATATATACTGTGTGTATATATAGAGATGCAGGAGATCGTGAAGAACTTCACTGTGGTTCACGTGAACGCTCCGGGACAAGAGGACGGCACGGCCATTTATCCTGCCGGGTATGTGCTGTATATATATATATATATATATATATTAATATATATTAAAACAATGAATAATAATAATAATAATAATAATTGCAACAACAATATTAATCCTCATATATTAGAGTGAATAAATATTAAAAGAAAGCAAGAATTAAAAAAAAAACATCTTAAGAGGCTTAAAATAATGAATCAAAAGCTCATTTAAAAAGACATGTCATCATTGGACATTTTACATTGTGGGGCAAAACCTATGTAACCAGTTAAGAAAAAAGGTTTAAGGTGATGCTACAGAGATACTATATAGTTAGAAATGATTTTTGAACATATATTTTTGTGTTGTGAGTATTAAAGGGGTCCTATCAAATGAAGGCCCGCCTTCTGAAATACGAAATGTGTTGTGATTGGTTAGCTGGACTAGTGTGTGATGTGATTGGCTCCACTCAGCGCCTGGTCGGGAAATTTCACACCCCTTACCATAGCCGCCTGCTGCGAGCTTCAGTGTAAATATTGCGCGATATTTGTGATATCACAAATCCCGGAAATTATGCGTTGTAGTCCAAACGAGTCGTTCGTTGTAGTTTTTGAAAAGTGATTTCTGTTAAAAAAAATATCTCCTTTTGAAGTGGACTTTGAGCTTTGTAACTTTGCAGATCTTTTTTATGCTCAAACAGCAATATTACAGACTAACTAAAGTTGAAAAAGTGAAAAACCATAATAGGACCCCTTTAAGAATGATGCTGTGTTTTGTTGGTGTATGCCCTTACATCAGATCACATCTGCTGTCAGGACACTTTACCTTCATAGCAGTGCATTCAAACCAGCCCTCACCGGCTAACTCTCTCTCTTAGTGCACAGATGCCACGGGCTCTCTCTGTTTGCGCTGAGTGCATGATGGTCAGTGTTAGTCATCCGCTCTTCTGTTCCCTGCAGGTACTTCTAGACTTTTTTCTTTCCAACTTCTGTCTTGACTCAGTGCACTGAAAGGGCTTCAGATAATAGTGTTTTAAAAGAGGAAACTCATTTCCGTTGATCTTTTGAGATAAAATACTTCATTGTATTATTTAAAACATAATGTAACTTTCAGAAGTCAATCCATTTATTAAAACTAAACTGCTAAAATGACTAAATGCATATATTCAGCTAACACAATATAGAGCATGGTGCAAGCAACCCCACTGTCATTGATTTGGATTCCTAAGCAATGCATAATTTGATCAAATGTACACCTTGCAATGCAAGTTTCTTTGGATAAAACAGTCTGCCATGAATGCATGAAAACATGACTGTCCACAACTAAAAGCATCAATACTGGCTCGTTCCTTCTCCACCAGAAAACATGAAAACTGACAAACCTGGTCATAAGAACTGAACATTTTCCATCCGTTATGGCAAATGACATGTAGCTGTATTGTAATGATTACAGTGGTTATTCCTCTCTGGATTGTGGCTGGATTGTAGATTCTTTTTTTTTTAATACTTTCACAAATATCTGACAGTTAAAAAAAATATTCTTAAACTTCGAAACAGTTAAACTTTGTCCTTAAGACATTTAATATACATAACATATATACATAATATCAGAGCCGATCCTAGACTTCTGGGCGCCCTATGCAAAACTGTGT